GTCACCGAAACCCAAAATTGAAAAAAAACAACAGAAAAACCGGGTTTGGGGGGGGGGGGGGGGTTGAGGCAGAAAATTTGATAGAATGTGTTGTCATCGGCAATGAGTCTACGTGACAAAATTCAGCTTGATGGACCAATTAGTCGTCCGAAGATTTTGCTACCCAGTAAGTTAGTCAGCCAGCCACCCACAAAAAAAAAAGCAAGGTTAATATAAAGGATTAAAAATAGAACAACCAATATATCCTATCTCTAATGATATATTTATAAGAAATGTAATAAGGTTGTGGAAACGCTGCTCTGAACCCAGTCATTAGGTCACGCCAATAGTTACAAATTTGTTTCTTTATCTTCGATTAGTTAAGCATTACATTGACAGTGTGGGTTGAACTAGAAATCAGGAAGTCTTCAAACAGTAAGGGGCTGTTACCATTTACTGCTTTAAACAAAATTACATTTACCTCTCTTGCCAAACATATTATTCCGAACGATCTTTTCCTGGTTTACCAGGGTGATACAAAAATCAAAGAAAAGTACTTCATATGAAAAAAATATCAAGAAATAGCACACAAAAAGCAACAACAAAAAAAAAAAAAAATTTAAAAAAACAAAAAATTTTTAGTTCATGAATAAGACTCTTCAATAATAATAATAATAATAATAATAATAATAATAATAATAATAATAATAGTAATAATAATAATAATAAAAAAATAAATAAAATTAAAAAAAAAAAAAAAAAAAAACATAAAAAAAAAAAAAAAAAAAAAAAAACAAAAAAAAAAAAAAAAAAAAAAAAAAAAAAAAATTTAAAAAAACAAACACTTTTTAGTTCATGAATAAGTCTCTTCCATAATAATAATAATAATAATAATAATAATAATAATAATAATAATAATAGTAATAATAATAATAATAAAGAAATAAATAAAATTGCTAGGCTAAACCTAAACATATATTATAGGCTATAACAAAAAGTATTAAAAAGTATTAGCCTTGCATGTTCCATTGATAAACACAATGCTTGAGGCTTTCTACCATTGACGTAATTGAACTATTTACGGAAAAGAATTAGGCGTATCTATAATCCGTCTGAGGTGGGGGTAGGGGACGTTAGATTACTTGTTATTTAAATTTTTGAACACTGACTCCGCTCTTAAACTTTGAAGTCGGCATTAAGTGTGGAGGGAGGTGTGCAAGTAGTTTCCCTTGCCTAGTCTGGCTTCGACCCCTTAAGGCTGCGGTTCTCAACCTTTGGGTCATGACCGCTGTGGGGGGTCAAACGACCTTTACACAGGGGTCACCTGAGACTCTCGGAAAACACATATTTATGAAGTAGGAATGAAAATAATTTTATGGTTGGCGGTCACCACAACATGAGAAACTGTATTAAAGGGTCACGGCATTAGGAAGGCTGAGAACCACTGCTTTAAAAAGGGGGAAGCTGCGTCAGCGCGGTATGAAAGGGGGTGAGCAGGGGGCTGTTTGCCTCGCACGGCATTTTTTTTTTCTTTGCGTAATGCATTTTAAAGAATTTTAAATTATGTTCTATTTTTCAATGCGTTTTAACTGGTCTTTGATAGAGAGTCTTTTTTTTTTTTTTAAGTGTTTACATGTATAAATATATATATATATATATATATATATATTAATTTGAAGTTATGACACCAAAGTAAAACAGAACAAATATGCTTTTTGTCCTACTTTTGATTGATGCAATTCCGTTTGGCACTATCTCACGATGTACACATTAATGTTTTAGGTCTGCTTGATGGAGATCATTCAATTTTTTTTTTTTCAAAAGTGTTTTCCCATTGGCATCGTCTTTTACTTTGAGCTCTGTATAATTTTATTGGAAAACTGCAGCTAGCTTGTTTAGCATAGCTATTTTGTCACTTGATGTGCAAAAAAATATAGGCCTAGTTGTTTTACAGTTCATTTTTATTTTTAACGGTTCAAAATAAAATATTATTCCGTTATTTAACATACGAAGCTGAGGGTGGTTAAGAAATTAAACTAATTTGAATGGGTCGGTATGCCCACGTACTCAGAAGATCCATAGTGTGAGAAGGAGTCTTTCGTTACACAGTGAATTTTATCCATATAATGGGCGTTTAATTATTCAAGTTTCAATGGGAATGTTACACAGCCATACATGTAATGAGAAGACACATTTATGTGGCTAGTTAATGACGGCACATGTAGGTGAACTAGGGAGTGTTTACAGTCCTCTTTTTGTTTTTCTGTACACAAACTGTTTACAGCCAAAAAGTTGTTTGCACTGAATCAAAATTATGAAAAATAAAATATTTTGCGGTCTACCGCGTAAAAATTAACCGTGTTAGTTGCGGTTGCATTCAGGCTTCATGTTCACGGGCAGTCGATCCACTCCATGATAAAATTAAATTTACAAAAGATGAAAATAAAAAGGTTTTTTGTTGTCTCTGTGTGTGTGTGTGTGATGGGTGTAGGTAGAGGCATGTACAAAAAAATCTCCTTTGTGACTAGTAGGGAAAAAAATGACTTTGACTCAGACAAAAACTTTTAAAAAACTATTGAATTTCATGAAATGTATTTCCAGGATTATTTTTCGATGGAGAGTGACTCACAAGACCGTACAAGGGGAAGAGTGCGGCCGTGAGACAATCGACGGTAAAACTTTTTTTTTTTTAAAGATGTAATACAAATAAACTCCTATATTTTTTTTAAATGTACAACAATAAATCAAAGAGTTGTAATTTATCCGGTCATGAAGTCGTAGAACAAATTAGTGGTACAA